GTACCAGGAGGGAAAGACCCAGTGAAGCCAGGAGGACGGCGCAGCCAGATCTCCTCGTGCAGGCTGCCCTGCAGGAAGGCTGTGCTGAAGTCAAGAGAGTGAAGCTCGTAGTCACGCTGAGCGGCAACGTGCAGTAGCACCCGAAGAGTGGTCATCTTCGGGGTGGGGGAGAAGGTCTAGAAGAAGTCAACTCCCTGTCACTGACTGAAGCCTCGAGCAACGTAACGAGCCTTGAAGACAGGCGGAGAACCCGGCGGCCGCTTCACCCTGAAAATCCACATGCCATCGACAATGTTCGCCCCAGGAGGGGGAACCTCGTCGACATAGGTGCCTGTGGACTTCCAGGATGCCATCTCTGCGTCCATGGCTGTCTGCCACTGAGAGGAGTAGGGACCCGAGACCGCCTCTGTGTAAGAGCGGGGGGTAGGGATGTCAAGTGCATCCGGGTCTCCCTCAGGGGCAAGCAGCCAGGCCGTGAGATGAGGTACAGCAGCCGCAAGACAGTCAAGGTCCTCCTGCCTGTCCTCAAAGACGTCCGTGCTAAGAGCACACTCACCCCCGACGGACGGAGGATAGACAGACGCAGTCTCAGTAACAAGACTAGCAGTGTAGTCGAGACGACAGGCAGCAGCAAAGTCAACCAGCTCAGCGACCAAGGCAGACGCAGACGCAGACTCAAAGGACGGGTCAGTGACAGCAGTGGCTAACAGACGCGTGACAGTAGGGTGCTCAGCACGAAACCGGTCAGACTCAGGGTCGGGAACGTCAGGCAGAGAGGACGCAGGGGGAGACGGCAGAGGAACACGCTGCTGAGTGGGAGAAGGACGTCTGACAACCAGGGGCGTGCTGCGAACAGGCGGCTGTCGCAGACTAGAGACACGACGACCGGAACGACCAGGACGGACAGGCGAGACAGGACGTGACGCAGGCTCACGACGCTCAGTAAGACCTCCTGGCTGCTCAGTGTAAGGAGAAGGAGCAGGCAGTGGTGAGCCAGGCTGTAAGGGAAGACCAGTAGACGACGGGAGACTAAGAACCTGGCGAAGTGCCAAGTCAGTCGGTGGCTGAGAAGACGGAGACGGCGGAGCAAAGAACAGACGCCGCGGCGCCGTGTCACCAGCAGCAGTAGTACCAGGACCTCCAGCAGCTCCAGCCCCCTCAGCAACAGCGCCACCAGGACCAGGTCCACTGACAGCAGCACCAGCACCCCCAGCAGCTCCAAGACCCCGAGCAGCTCCAGAACCACCAGCTCTAGCACCTCCAGGACCAACTCCACTAGTAGTAGCACCCCCAGAACCGGCACCCCCAGTCCCAGGGTCTCCAGCAGCAGAACCCTCACGCAAAGCTCCTCCAGCCCCGGCAGCTCCAGTCCCACAAGGACGAGCACCTCCAGGACCAGGGGAAGGGACCCCAACACCTCCAGAAGCAGAGCCTCGAGCTCCAGCAGCGCGACCCTGACGGCGCCCGAACCAGTCGTGCAGCTGCTGCGAGGTAAGAGGTACACGCGGACGAAGGCGGTCGCTCCACGGGGACCGCGTCCCAGCAGGCGCAGTAGTCGCAGTCGGCTCACCTCCAGGCTCAGCTCCCCCAGTCTCCACACACACAGGTACGTCACCCCCAGACACAGCACCCTCAGGCGTAGCACCACCAGGCTCCTGACTCGCAGGTGCAGCACCTCCAGGCACCCCACACTCACGCTCCGCACCCCCAGGCTCAGCACCTCCAGGCACCTCACGCTCACGCTCCGCACCCCCAGGCTCAGCACCCTCAGGCTCCGGAAGCGTGAACGACTGGGTGATGCCGTGCTCCGCACAGAAGGCTCGCAGGAGGTCGGAGGAGAACTCACCACCTCTGTCAGAGTGCAGACGCAGAACAGGAAAGTTCGACTGGAACCGCTCACGGAGCTGGAGACGAGCAGCGCGGATCCAGGGGATCAAAACATCAGGGACTTGCTCCTTGGTGCGCAAGGGGAAGACCGTGGTGTAGCGCGTGTAGTCGTCGACGACCAGCAGGAAGTACCGCTCGCGGCCCTGCCCCTGGACGCGGGCTGGGCCCCACATGTCCAGGTGGAGCGTCTGCAGCGGAGCCTCTGTGGGAGGGAACGAGGAGGAGTGAGGAGCGGCGCGCTGCCGCCCCTCAACGCAAGGAATGCAGGGCGGCGCAGGCGAGGGAGGGAGGGCAGGTAGAGACCTGGGAAGACCAGAGACCAGACAGCGAGAGTGCATGCCACGCAGGCGAGGCAGGGAGGGGTGACCAAGGTGGTGGTGCCACAGGAGAGTGTCGTGGGACAGGCGGCGGCACTCACACTGGGTGGCTACCTGAGCAGACGTGTAGAGCTGTGGAGACAAAGGAGTGGAGCGTGAAACAGTGGTGAGAGTGTAAAGACTGGACCCCGGCTCACGGGTGAACGTGGCCAGGTGGCGGCCAGTCTTGGAGCAGGTACAGATCGCCACACGCTGTCCTCCAGGAGTCCAGGTGTCAACCCAGTGATCCTGAAGGACGGCGTTGCTCACCAAGTTCGTAGAGAACGAGGGAACATGGAGACCTGACAGCTCACCAGACGGGACCGCCGGGCACGGAAGCACAGTGGTATGCCACCTGGTTGTGCATGTAATGTTCTGGTTGCCCTGTGTGTGTGTACCTTAGTGTGCTGCTAAACACCTCCCCTATGCCTGGACCGCCCCTCTCCCTGCTCTCCCGTCCTGTCAGGTGTGTGCTTCAAGGCGTGCGAGAGGGAGCTACCGTTGTTTCTGCACACGATGGATACCAACCACGGCAACCTCGGCCTTCACAAGTCGCTCTCGCTCATGCTCCAAGCAACTGACTACATGGGAGCTTACCCGAAACTCGTACAGCTGTGGCATGCTGTAGCAGTGCTCCCACTCAGCACTGTGGAGTGTGAGCGTGGCTTAAGTCGCTAGAACCGTATCAAGTCGTGGACACGGAGCTGCCTCGGCGACGCCAGACTGGGCGATCTGATGACTGCAGCACTCCTGCCCACTGAGGGTCTGAACTGGGTGAATGTGGTAGCTATTTTTAATGCTAGCAAGAAGCGCCGCCCTGCCCAAGAGTTCCTGTATTGACTTCTTGAGTTTGTTCCCTGCTAAGCTAAGTGTATCATGCTAGAACCAGACCATCCCATATGTAGGTGCTGCTGTAGTTTTGTCTCTTATTTTACACTATGCAAATTCAACTAAGTTACACCTAACAAGAAAGGGTAAGTAACCAATGTGCACACTGACGAGCAAGAGTAACTTTCCAGCATACACTGATAAAATGGACTGACATGGCTGCCCCACCCTTACAGAAAGACCAACTTCCGCGAACTGGCCTTTTCGAGTACCGTAATCACCCAGACATACCACCCTAGGGTGCTATGATAACTACCGGTACATCAAAAAAGGGGGGGGGGGGTCTTGTCATGGGAAAAAGCTACATAACACCCGGGTCTTTTTATAATGTACATTTTTTTTTAAGCAGAAACGGTTGGGAACAAAATGTACATGCTTGCTGCGGTGGTAGATTGTTGGTTGGGTGCGCAAAACCGAGGATGAGGCGATCACGTAAGGGCGTGTGCACTTTGGGCGAAATTTGTCAAAGTTCGAACATTCACCGCTTTGCACCGAGTAGAACCTCGCTAAAAGTTCGAACTTCAACAGAAATTCGAACTCCTAGTGCACACGGCCTTAGCCTCGAGTGGAAGCTGCCACATTGCAAGCTCCAACAGGCCCTCTGTCATGCCCTGATTGGTCGAAAACACACCCCCCGTCGCTCGACGAGGATTCATGCAGTCACAGAGGCGGGAGTCCCGCAACAGGCTTAGCAGCCTCGCTGGTGCGGTCACGTCTCTGCGCGAAGTTTAGGCGAAAACAGCAATTTTTTCCGTACATAACCCCCCCTTCCCCCCCGGGTTTTATACCGGATCGGCCCAAAAGGGGGGTATAGTAGAAACGAGGTCCGCTATAGCACCCACCCCGCACAAGCCACCCGGGGGGTGTTCAATTTCGGCGGGTGGTATGTCCGGGTGATTACGGTAAGAGCGCCTCCAATCCTATCTAGATGCCTGATTTCCAGTAAAAATCCAACTGCAAATCCAGAAACTAAGTGCTGAAACCTGTCAACCTACATAGTGGCCAGAGACTATTGGCAAGTAACAGGTACCGTAAAGTGCCACCTATAGGACCCGGGGGACTCTCTACAAATGCTTGAAAAAGTGCTAGGGGGACCCTCTGGCGGATGCAAAATTTTAAGACCCGGGGTACACTTATTTATCAACTATCATTCTGTTCTTTAGGGTGTACGGCTTAATTCGGGGCGGGGGGGTCTTATATTTATAACGAAAAACGGCATTCGTGGGCGGATTTCGCGCGAGCTGCGCGTCAGATCTGTGTCAGAATTCGAGTCTGACACAAACAAAGTGTCAGAATTCGAGTCTGACACAAAAAATCGTGTCAGAATTCAAGTTTCTGTCAATAAAAGCTGACTCACAATAGCAATTACAACTACTGTATACAGAAAAGGGGGGTCTTATGATGATTAGGGGCAGAAAGGGGGTCCTCACAAATCCTGCCCAAATAAGAGTCCCTCTGCTCCTTCAAGAGTCCCGGGGACCCTCTTACCGGCGGGTCCTATAGGTGGCACTTTACGGTAGTGGGGTAGCGGGAGGTACGTTGCGCTGGGTAGCGGGGCAGCGCAACAGGGTGCGCGTCGCGCAGGGCAGCTGCGCACGCGGCAGCGGGGCGACAAAGCGCGCTTCGCGCTGGGCAGCAGAGCAGCACGTGCGGGCAGGCGCGGCGCGTGGGGCAGCACACGGGCAGGGCAGTGCGCGTGGGTAGGAGCAGCGCGTGGGGAAGCGTAAGAGCAGGGCAGCGCGTGCGCGCAGGCGCAGCGCACGGGGCAGTGTACGGGCAGGGCAGTGCTGGTTGCATGCATGGGCGCGGTTACACGCATGGGGTTACATGTATGGGGTTGCATGCATGGGCGGTTACATGCAAGGCTGGTTATGTGGGCGGCAGATGGCCATGCAGGGTGAGGTGGCAGTATGCCAGCACAGCACCGCCCATGTGACAGCCTGGCATGGAGTGCGCCTCTGTCAGCAACTCCGCCTGCAAGGGGGGTGACGTGGCAGATGGGGGATGAGAGCACCGAGAAGAGAGGCGGAGTGAGAGTGGTGGCATTGAGAGCAGGCACTTGGCATTGAGAGCAGGCACTTGGCATTGAGAGCAGGCACTTGGCATTGAGAGCAGGCACTTGGCATTGAGAGCAGGCACTTGGCATTGAGAGCAGGCACTTGGCATTGAGAGCAGGCACTTGGCATTGAGAGCAGGCACTTGGCATTGAGAGCAGGCACTTGGCATTGAGAGCAGGCACTTGGCATTGAGAGCAGGCACTTGGCATTGAGAGCAGGCACTTGGCATTGAGAGCAGGCACTTGGCATTGAGAGCAGGCACTTGGCATTGAGAGCAGGCACTTGGCATTGAGAGCAGGCACTTGGCATTGAGAGCAGGCACTTGGCATTGAGAGCAGGCACTTGGCATTGAGAGCAGGCACTTGGCATTGAGAGCAGGCACTTGGCATTGAGAGCAGGCACTTGGCATTGAGAGCAGGCACTTGGCATTGAGAGCAGGCACTTGGCATTGAGAGCAGGCACTTGGCATTGAGAGCAGGCACTTGGCATTGAGAGCAGGCACTTGGCATTGAGAGCAGGCACTTGGCATTGAGAGCAGGCACTTGGCATTGAGAGCAGGCACTTGGCATTGAGAGCAGGCACTTGGCATTGAGAGCAGGCACTTGGCATTGAGAGCAGGCACTTGGCATTGAGAGCAGGCACTTGGCATTGAGAGCAGGCACTTGGCATTGAGAGCAGGCACTTGGCATTGAGAGCAGGCACTTGGCATTGAGGGGAGAGAATTCGAGGTAGTCGAGGCAAGATAGCAGCAGACATTGCTATCAACGCTGCGCATACAGCTCAACATAGCCTCAAAGAGCAGCCTCGGGGCATAGCTCTGGAGAACAGAGAGACAGGGGCTAGCTAACTGGCATGTGGCCTATACCTGAGGTTCCGTTGAAAACCATCCCATACACAAGCCAATACCAGTGCACCGCCATACCAGTAACCCACTTACTATAGATACTGTTTTTTCTAAAAAAAAAAAAAAAAAAAGCAATTAAGAGGTATCCAAACCCTAAACAGTGGCTGGCGCAGCCCAGACGCTGGCAGGCTCAACCTTGTGCTGCGCAGAGGCGTTGCAAGGGAGGGCCCAACGGGTAATCAGCACCCACCCACAATGATCACTATACATGCTTCATGCATCCCCTTTACAAGAACATCTTCCCCTGCACCCCCATACAAGCACGTCAAACCATACAGGCACAATGCCCGATGCCATACCAGCGGCACGGCTCTGAGGCTGGTGGATTCGAACTTGTGCTGTGCAGAGGCGTAGCGAGAGAGCACCTCCGGTGCCGTGAGCGAGGTGTGGCAGAGAAACATGGCGAGCGATCGCACGTTCTCCCTTCGCCTGCACAGACCGATGAAGAGCATGTCGTGCTGGGGGGTGGTGAGAGAGGGGAGGGACAGAGGGGGAAAGAGAGAGGGGTGAGGGAGGGGGAGAGAGGCACAGAAGGAAGCATGGGACAGGCGCATATTGAGTGAATGCATGTTCTCTCTGCGCCTGCACAGACCCAGAAAGTGCATGCCCTGCCGGGGGGAGAGAAGTGGGGGAAAGGGTGTTGGGAAGGCACAAAAAAATGTATAGGTTAGCGACGCATGGTGAGAAACGATGAGGTGAGCGCTTGTTGTCCAAACGGCGAGGGAGTGGATTCTAGGGAGAGGGTGAGAGAGCGAGTGCGAGAGAGAGAGAGAGAGAGAGAGAGAGAGAGAGAGAGAGAGAGAGAGAGAGAGAGAGAGAGAGAGAGAGAGAGAGAGAGCAAGTGAGAGAGCGACATGGGACGAGAGCTCACAAGGGAATCAGCAGGGGCGCCTGTCTCTTCCTCCACCTCCCTCTTCATGCCTTCAAACATCTCATGTGCGATGGTGGCGTTGAGAAGGGAGGGCGATGAGGAAGGGGAGAGCGGAGGAGAGGCAGGGGTGTTGGAGGATTGCGGGTCGACAGGGGAGTGTTGGGTGGGGGGAGGTTGTGGTGTGGAAGAAATGCCTGCCTCTGATGGCTGCAGTGGTGGGGCAAGAGAGAAGGAGAGAGAAAGGAGGGATAGAATGAGTGAGACAAGGTTTGGAAGAGGCACAGAGAAAGAGGAGTTGGGATGGCTTAGAATGAACGACGGGTGCGTGGAATGAGGTGTGCGAATAAAAGGTGTGCGAATGGTGTTACCTCTGGGTGTCCTCCCGGAAAAACTGGGCAATTTGGGAATTCACCCACAGCCGTGCCGCGCTGCAGCAGCAGGAAGCAGCCATCAGCCGTCACCACCAGCGCCGCGTTCCCCAGGGCGTCCCCCATGTGCTGGCATGCTTGCGCGTCGCGCTGGCCTATGGCCTGCTGACACGTGGCACGGGCAGCCATGCGTTCACCAGGCTCTTTGAGATGGGGACACCGTTGGGAATCAGCAGCGGTACTGGGAGCAGTGACAGCAGTGGCAGCAGCAGCACTGCCAGGCTGATCAGCATCCTGCACCATCTCAGAGGACAGAGCTTCCCTGTCAGTGTCACCACCACACTCCCGGGAACCCCCTCCCGCTCCTTCCTCCCTGCACGCTCCCTCCCCCATCTCCCCTTCACCAGTTGCCCCTTCACCAGTTCCCCTGCTATCCGCCCCCTCGGCTGTCCTGAGGCGCTTGGCAGCAGCGCAGCCGGAGAGGGAAGGTGAGAGGAAGCTTCGCCAGTCGGAGCAGAGGTTGGTTGTGATGAGGCTCCTGATGGGGGCACGGGAGGGGAAGAGGTGCAAGGGGAGCGGTGCGATAATAGAGCGGTGCGATAATAGAGCGGTGCGATAATAGAGCAGTGCGATAATAGAGCGGTGTGATAATAGAGCGGTGTGATAATAGAGCGGTGTGATAATAGAGCGGTGCGATAATAGAGCGGTGCGATAATAGAGCGGTGCGATAATAGAGCAGTGCGATAATAGAGCGGTGTGATAATAGAGCGGTGTGATAATAGAGCGGTGCAAGAGATGAGGAGGGCGTGATGTGGGAGAAGTGGGATGAGACGAGGAGCGCAGGATTGAGGAGGATTCAACGATAGAGAGATGGGAAGTTGCGAGATGCCCAGTGCGTGCGAGGATAGTGCAAGAGACGACGGGAAAATGGGAGAGCATTAATAAAATGTACCTGATTTCTCTAGTCCAGTGAATGGTGTACATCTTTAATGGGAGTCACGCTGGTTGACCATAGAAGTGTAACTGGGGATGAGCAAATGGCGAACACGAACATGTTCGTGTTCGCCTGGGCTCGAACATGGCCGTTCGGCGAACCGAACACTGTTTGGTTCGCCGAACACTTTACACCAGAAAGGGTGTTCGAAGTTCGCCAAGAGAGGCGAACATTTCGAACGTTTTGGCGAACACGAATACGTTCGCCCAGAACATGTTCGCGTTCGCCTTAAAGGACCTTCTCAGATCCAAGTAGAGTGAAATCCAAATGTTTCACATTCCCTCCCCCCACCCCCCAAGCTAGTCCCGCCCTGCTTCATCCATGCTAGTGCCAGCGTGTGACGGCGAGAGGCTACATCTGCACTTAAGCATCGGCGAAATGCTTGATTCGCGCTTAAGCAACGGCGAAATGCTAGATCTACGCTTAAGCAACGGCGAAATGCTAGATCTACGCTTAAGCAACGGCGAAATGCTAGATCTACGCTTAAGCAACAATGAAATGCTAGATCTGAGCTTAAGCATCGGTGAAATGCTTGATCCGCGCCTAAGCAACGGCGAAATGCTAGATCTGTACTTAAGCAACGGCGAAATGCCTTGATCCGCACTTAAGCAACGGCAAAAGGCCTTGATCTGAGCCCAAACACCAAGGCCCGCGACCTAAAAATTGGTCGCGGGCCTATTCGTCGACGAACACATTGGTGTTCCTCGAAGGCCCGTGTCGAACACGAACACGTGCCTCGGCCAGCTGAGCCGGGCGAACGGCGAACATGTTCGGGCGAACACCGAACACGTTCGCCCCGAACACTTTAGGCCAAAAAAATATCCTGTTCGGTTCGCCTCGAACACGTTCGAGGCGAACCGAACAGGTGTTCGTCATATTGCTCATCCCTAAGTGTAACCACCCAATTACCTTGGAATACACGGCAATCCGACTGAATTCTGAAACAACCATTACATCAAAGCACCGACGTTGGGCTGGAGGGTCAAGAAATCATAAGGCCCATTGCTCACCCTCCATGTGCTGAAATCACTCGGAAGGATTCTCAAAACCGATTGGCCACCCTCGATGTGCCATGCATGCCTCGATGTGCCACGCATGCCTCCTGCTGTCTGCACTGCCAGCCAAGGCAGGCGTTCCACCTCACACTGTCTCACGCTTCAAACGCCTGTCTCACGCTTCAAACGCCTGTCTCACGCTTCAAACGCCTGTCTCACGCTTCAAACGCCTGTCTCACGCTTCAAACGCCTGTCTCACGCTTCAAACGCCTGTCTCACGCTTCAAACGCCTGTCTCTAGCTTCAAACGCCTGTCTCTAGCTTCAAACGCCTGTCTCTCGCTTCAAACGCCTGTCTCTCGCTTCAAACGCCTGTCTCTCGCTTCAAACGCCTGTCTCACGCTTCAAACGCCTGTCTCACGCTTCAAACGCCTGTCTCTCGCTTCAAACGCCTGTCTCTAGCTTCAAACGCCTGTCTCTAGCTTCAAACGCCTGTCTCTAGCTTCAAACGCCTGTCTCTAGCTTCAAACGCCTGTCTCTAGCTTCAAACGCCTGTCTCTCGCTTCAAACGCCTGTCTCTCGCTTCAAACGCCTGTCTCTCGCTTCAAACGCCTGTCTCACGCTTCAAACGCCTGTCTCACGCTTCAAACGCCTGTCTCTCGCTTCAAACGCCTGTCTCTCGCTTCAAACGCCTGTCTCACGCTTCAAACGCCTGTCTCACGCTTCAAACGCCTGTCTCACGCTTCAAACGCCTGTCTCACGCTTCAAACGCCTGTCTCACGCTTCAAACGCCTGTCTCTCGCTTCAAACGCCTGTCTCTAGCTTCAAACGCCTGTCTCTCGCTTCAAACGCCTGTCTCACGCTTCAAACGCCTGTCTCACGCTTCAAACGCCTGTCTCACGCTTCAAACGCCTGTCTCACGCTTCAAACGCCTGTCTCACGCTTCAAACGCCTGTCTCTCGCTTCAAACGCCTGTCTCTCGCTTCAAACGCCTGTCTCACGCTTCAAACGCCTGTCTCACGCTTCAAACGCCTGTCTCTGGCTTCAAACGCCTGTCTCACGCTTCAAACGCCTGTCTCACGCTTCAAACGCCTGTCTCTAGCTTCAAACGCCTGTCTCTAGCTTCAAACGCCTGTCTCTCGCTTCAAACGCCTGTCTCTCGCTTCAAACGCCTGTCTCTCGCTTCAAACGCCTGTCTCACGCTTCAAACGCCTGTCTCACGCTTCAAACGCCTGTCTCTCGCTTCAAACGCCTGTCTCTAGCTTCAAACGCCTGTCTCTAGCTTCAAACGCCTGTCTCTAGCTTCAAACGCCTGTCTCTAGCTTCAAACGCCTGTCTCTAGCTTCAAACGCCTGTCTCTCGCTTCAAACGCCTGTCTCTCGCTTCAAACGCCTGTCTCTCGCTTCAAACGCCTGTCTCACGCTTCAAACGCCTGTCTCACGCTTCAAACGCCTGTCTCTCGCTTCAAACGCCTGTCTCTCGCTTCAAACGCCTGTCTCACGCTTCAAACGCCTGTCTCTCGCTTCAAACGCCTGTCTCACGCTTCAAACGCCTGTCTCACGCTTCAAACGCCTGTCTCACGCTTCAAACGCCTGTCTCTCGCTTCAAACGCCTGTCTCTAGCTTCAAACGCCTGTCTCTCGCTTCAAACGCCTGTCTCACGCTTCAAACGCCTGTCTCACGCTTCAAACGCCTGTCTCACGCTTCAAACGCCTGTCTCACGCTTCAAACGCCTGTCTCACGCTTCAAACGCCTGTCTCTCGCTTCAAACGCCTGTCTCTCGCTTCAAACGCCTGTCTCACGCTTCAAACGCCTGTCTCACGCTTCAAACGCCTGTCTCTGGCTTCAAACGCCTGTCTCACGCTTCAAACGCCTGTCTCTCGCTTCAAACGCCTGTCTCTCGCTTCAAACGCCTGTCTCTAGCTTCAAACGCCTGTCTCTAGCTTCAAACGCCTGTCTCTCGCTTCAAACGCCTGTCTCTCGCTTCAAACGCCTGTCTCTAGCTTCAAACGCCTGTCTCTAGCTTCAAACGCCTGTCTCTAGCTTCAAACGCCTGTCTCTCGCTTCAAACGCCTGTCTCTCGCTTCAAACGCCTGTCTCTAGCTTCAAACGCCTGTCTCTCGCTTCAAACGCCTGTCTCTCGCTTCAAACGCCTGTCTCACGCTTCAAACGCCTGTCTCACGCTTCAAACGCCTGTCTCTCGCTTCAAACGCCTGTCTCTCGCTTCAAACGCCTGTCTCTCGCTTCAAACGCCTGTCTCACGCTTCAAACGCCTGTCTCACGCTTCAAACGCCTGTCTCTCGCTTCAAACGCCTGTCTCACGCTTCAAACGCCTGTCTCACGCTTCAAACGCCTGTCTCACGCTTCAAACGCCTGTCTCTCGCTTCAAACGCCTGTCTCTCGCTTCAAACGCCTGTCTCTAGCTTCAAACGCCTGTCTCTCGCTTCAAACGCCTGTCTCACGCTTCAAACGCCTGTCTCACGCTTCAAACGCCTGTCTCACGCTTCAAACGCCTGTCTCACGCTTCAAACGCCTGTCTCTCGCTTCAAACGCCTGTCTCATGCTTCAAACGCCTGTCTCACGCTTCAAACGCCTGTCTCACGCTTCAAACGCCTGTCTCACGCTTCAAACGCCTGTCTCACGCTTCAAACGCCTGTCTCTCGCTTCAAACGCCTGTCTCTCGCTTCAAACGCCTGTCTCACGCTTCAAACGCCTGTCTCACGCTTCAAACGCCTGTCTCACGCTTCAAACGCTTGTCTCTAGCTTCAAACGCCTGTCTCTAGCTTCAAACGCCTGTCTCACGCTTCAAACGCCTGTCTCACGCTTCAAACGCCTGTCTCACGCTTCAAACGCCTGTCTCACGCTTCAAACGCCTGTCTCTCGCTTCAAACGCCTGTCTCATGCTTCAAACGCCTGTCTCACGCTTCAAACGCCTGTCTCACGCTTCAAACGCCTGTCTCACGCTTCAAACGCCTGTCTCACGCTTCAAACGCCTGTCTCACGCTTCAAACGCCTGTCTCTAGCTTCAAACGCCTGTCTCACGCTTCAAACGCCTGTCTCTCGCTTCAAACGCCTGTCTCTCGCTTCAAACGCCTGTCTCACGCTTCAAACGCCTGTCTCACGCTTCAAACGCCTGTCTCACGCTTCAAACGCCTGTCTCACGCTTCAAACGCCTGTCTCTCGCTTCAAACGCCTGTCTCTCGCTTCAAACGCCTGTCTCTCGCTTCAAACGCCTGTCTCACGCTTCAAACGCCTGTCTCTCGCTTCAAACGCCTGTCTCACGCTTCAAACGCCTGTCTCACGCTTCAAACGCCTGTCTCACGCTTCAAACGCCTGTCTCTCGCTTCAAACGCCTGTCTCTCGCTTCAAACGCCTGTCTCTAGCTTCAAACGCCTGTCTCTCGCTTCAAACGCCTGTCTCACGCTTCAAACGCCTGTCTCACGCTTCAAACGCCTGTCTCACGCTTCAAACGCCTGTCTCTCGCTTCAAACGCCTGTCTCTCGCTTCAAACGCCTGTCTCTAGCTTCAAACGCCTGTCTCTAGCTTCAAACGCCTGTCTCTCGCTTCAAACGCCTGTCTCTCGCTTCAAACGCCTGTCTCTAGCTTCAAACGCCTGTCTCTAGCTTCAAACGCCTGTCTCTAGCTTCAAACGCCTGTCTCTCGCTTCAAACGCCTGTCTCTCGCTTCAAACGCCTGTCTCACGCTTCAAACGCCTGTCTCACGCTTCAAACGCCTGTCTCTCGCTTCAAACGCCTGTCTCACGCTTCAAACGCCTGTCTCACGCTTCAAACGCCTGTCTCACGCTTCAAACGCCTGTCTCTCGCTTCAAACGCCTGTCTCTCGCTTCAAACGCCTGTCTCTCGCTTCAAACGCCTGTCTCACGCTTCAAACGCCTGTCTCTCGCTTCAAACGCCTGTCTCTCGCTTCAAACGCCTGTCTCACGCTTCAAACGCCTGTCTCACGCTTCAAACGCCTGTCTCACGCTTCAAACGCCTGTCTCACGCTTCAAACGCCTGTCTCACGCTTCAAACGCCTGTCTCACGCTTCAAACGCCTGTCTCACGCTTCAAACGCCTGTCTCACGCTTCAAACGCCTGTCTCACGCTTCAAACGCCTGTCTCACGCTTCAAACGCCTGTCTCACGCTTCAAACGCCTGTCTCACGCTTCAAACGCCTGTCTCACGCTTCAAACGCCTGTCTCACGCTTCAAACGCCTGTCTCTCGCTTCAAACGCCTGTCTCTCGCTTCAAACGCCTGTCTCTCGCTTCAAACGCCTGTCTCACGCTTCAAACGCCTGTCTCTCGCTTCAAACGCCTGTCTCACGCTTCAAACGCCTGTCTCACGCTTCAAACGCCTGTCTCACGCTTCAAACGCCTGTCTCTCGCTTCAAACGCCTGTCTCTCGCTTCAAACGCCTGTCTCTCGCTTCAAACGCCTGTCTCACGCTTCAAACGCCTGTCTCACGCTTCAAACGCCTGTCTCACGCTTCAAACGCCTGTCTCACGCTTCAAACGCCTGTCTCACGCTTCAAACGCCTGTCTCACGCTTCAAACGCCTGTCTCACGCTTCAAACGCCTGTCTCACGCTTCAAACGCCTGTCTCTCGCTTCAAACGCCTGTCTCTCGCTTCAAACGCCTGTCTCTCGCTTCAAACGCCTGTCTCACGCTTCAAACGCCTGTCTCACGCTTCAAACGCCTGTCTCACGCTTCAAACGCCTGTCTCTCGCTTCAAACGCCTGTCTCACGCTTCAAACGCCTGTCTCTCGCTTCAAACGCCTGTCTCACGCTTCAAACGCCTGTCTCACGCTTCAAACGCCTGTCTCACGCTTCAAACGCCTGTCTCACGCTTCAAACGCCTGTCTCACGCTTCAAACGCCTGTCTCACGCTTCAAACGCCTGTCTCACGCTTCAAACGCCTGTCTCACGCTTCAAACGCCTGTCTCACGCTTCAAACGCCTGTCTCACGCTTCAAACGCCTGTCTCACGCTTCAAACGCCTGTCTCACGCTTCAAACGCCTGTCTCACGCTTCAAACGCCTGTCTCTCGCTTCAAACGCCTGTCTCACGCTTCAAACGCCTGTCTCACGCTTCAAACGCCTGTCTCACGCTTCAAACGCCTGTCTCACGCTTCAAACGCCTGTCTCTCGCTTCAAACGCCTGTCTCTCGCTTCAAACGCCTGTCTCTCGCTTCAAACGCCTGTCTCACGCTTCAAACGCCTGTCTCACGCTTCAAACGCCTGTCTCACGCTTCAAACGCCTGTCTCACGCTTCAAACGCCTGTCTCTCGCTTCAAACGCCTGTCTCTCGCTTCAAACGCCTGTCTCACGCTTCAAACGCCTGTCTCACGCTTCAAACGCCTGTCTCACGCTTCAAACGCCTGTCTCTCGCTTCAAACGCCTGTCTCACGCTTCAAACGCCTGTCTCTCGCTTCAAACGCCTGTCTCACGCTTCAAACGCCTGTCTCTCGCTTCAAACGCCTGTCTCTCGCTTCAAACGCCTGTCTCTCGCTTCAAACGCCTGTCTCACGCTTCAAACGCCTGTCTCTCGCTTCAAACGCCTGTCTCTCGCTTCAAACGCCTGTCTCACGCTTCAAACGCCTGTCTCACGCTTCAAACGCCTGTCTCACGCTTCAAACGCCTGTCTCACGCTTCAAACGCCTGTCTCTCGCTTCAAACGCCTGTCTCTCGCTTCAAACGCCTGTCTCTCGCTTCAAACGCCTGTCTCACACTTCAAACGCCTGTCTCACGCTTCAAACGCCTGTCTCTCGCTTCAAACGCCTGTCTCTAGCTTCAAACGCCTGTCTCACGCTTCAAACGCCTGTCTCACGCTTCAAACGCCTGTCTCACGCTTCAAACGCCTGTCTCACGCTTCAAACGCCTGTCTCACGCTTCAAACGCCTGTCTCACGCTTCAAACGCCTGTCTCACGCTTCAAACGCCTGTCTCACGCTTCAAACGCCTGTCTCTCGCTTCAAACGCCTGTCTCTCGCTTCAAACGCCTGTCTCACGCTTCAAACGCCTGTCTCACGCTTCAAACGCCTGTCTCTCGCTTCAAACGCCTGTCTCTCGCTTCAAACGCCTGTCTCTCGCTTCAAACGCCTGTCTCACACTTCAAACGCCTGTCTCACTTCAAACGCCTGTCTCTCGCTTCAAACGCCTGTCTCTCGCTTCAAACGCCTGTCTCACGCTTCAAACGCCTGTCTCACGCTTCAAACGCCTGTCTCACGCTTCAAACGCCTGTCTCACGCTTCAAACGCCTGTCTCACGCTTCAAACGCCTGTCTCACGCTTCAAACGCCTGTCTCACGCTTCAAACGCCTGTCTCACGCTTCAAACGCCTGTCTCTCGCTTCAAACGCCTGTCTCTCGCTTCAAACGCCTGTCTCACGCTTCAAACGCCTGTCTCACGCTTCAAACGCCTGTCTCACGCTACAAACGGTCTCTAGCTTGCCAAATTTCTCCTCTGGGCCACTACCCGTGCATCCGCATTTGGCTCCCTTACTTACCCCTCACCTGCCTGCCTCTTCTCACCACCCCTCCCCCACGCTTCCCCTCCTTCCCTAATTCCCCCTTTCTGCCTCACCTCATGTGTAACCTGTGAGGCCCAGGTGCATGCTGGCCACGCTTCTGGCCCTTCCAAACCTTTAGACGCTTCTGGCGCAGCAGCAGCAGGGGAAACATGGGCACACGCGTGCTCACGCTGGATACTCACTTGTAATCCGTGAGCCCCAGGTGCAGGCACGCACGGGGACTACCCTGCACACCTAGCCGCCCTGTCACGTCTGACCCTTGTGACCGTGGAGGCGCTTCTGACCCCGCATCGCATCAGCGGAGGGCGCACACGGGCACATAGTGAGTACTCACTTGTAATCCGTGAGCCCCAAGTGCAGGCACACACGAGGACTGATCTGCACTCCTCGCTCTGCTGCTTGTGACCCTTGAGACGCTTCTGATACCCCAGCAGCAGCAGCAGCAGAGGGGGAGGTGGCGGAGGATGGGGGATGCAACGAGAACCCACCATACTGAGAAGTGCATACGGGCATGGGTAGGGGTGTTGAGGAGAAGTGCAGGCAGGGGAGAGGGAGGGGGGAGGGGGAGAGGGGGGAGAAGGGGAGGAAAGGGAGGAAGTGGGCTTGAAAGTGCGGGGCGAAGGATGTGGGATGCAATGAGATGAGAACCCGCCGTACTGAGGTGCGCATGGGGGCATGTGGATTGGGGCGTGCGGGCCACGGGGGAGGGCGGGAAAAGGGGGAACCTCTGAGTGGAATCGAAAGTCACAGGGAGTAAAGGATTGGGGCTGCAAAGAAAAAAATCCCATACTGATTGGGGCTTGGGGGGCGAGGACATTGGGAGGAGGGGGAGGGTTGGAGGGAATGTGTTGTGATGAGGTGGGAGGGGTTTCAGGTTCTTGAGCGTAGAGCTGTGCATGGTGGGCCTTGCATGGTGTTTTATGCATGGTGCGTCATGCATAGTGCGTTGTGCATGGTGCGTTATGCATGGTATGTAACGCATGGTACAGCAAAGCACAGGGAGCGACGACAAGGTACACACTGAGGGTGATTGTAAACCAATAATCTCAAGAGCAGAGAGTCTCACCAGCATCCTACTTTCAAGAATCAAGGCCGACTAACGGTCCAGCCAAGACACGTGTGACTCACTCGGAACTTGGAGCCGTTGTACAGCGATGGCTGATGCGCCTTGCGCCTCTGCCACTCCTGCCAGCCACCACACCACGCACGTGGGCAGATGGGGGGACGTGGGGAAGAGGCAGGGGCGGGGAGCGGGGGTGAGGTGAGGGGTGTACGTATGAGATGATGCGAGGGTGCTGAGTGTATGGATGTGAAATGAAAGCATTGTGTTGTGCACTGGGGCCTGCAGTTGAAGAGGTGTGATAGAGTCGACTCACACCACGCCCCACCACGACTGATCACCCACCCACCACCACACTCCACCACTCACCGTGTTCATCATCTTCTCAAGCGCGCTGTTGGGGTGGGGCCTGCGGTTGAAGCGCGACGAGAAGTGCACTGCTAGCTGGCAGCGAATGAGGGGGTGAGGTGAGGTGGGGCGAATGGAACACGGATGGGAGAAGTCATGCTAACAATAAAGCGCGACGAGATGTGGACTGCCAGTTGACAGCAGTGGGTGGAAGGGGAAGCAGGAACTAGGAAAGGCAGCAAGTAGGGCGGGGACGGCAGCATTGGAAAAAGAAGAGACGGGAAATGCACTGCCAGCTGGCAATAGTGCGGGTGGGGCAAACAGGAACCAGGAAAGGCAGCAAACGGGGATGACAGCAAATGGGGATGACAGGAGTGGGTAGAGTCACAACGAATGGTGAAGCGCCAGTTGGCAGCAGTGCGGGTGGGAGGTGGGGCAAAGGAAGACGGGGCTGGATGGTGGTAAGTTGATGTGCGGGACTGGGATGAGAGAAGTGATGATGGCATTTAAAGCACGAAGAGATGGGGGACGAGATGGTATGGGATTGGATGGGATGGGATGGGATGGGATGGGATGGGACGGGACGGGACGGGACGGGACGGGACGGGACGGGACGGGACGGGACGGGACGGGACGGGACGGGACGGGACGGGACGGGATGGGATGGGATGGGATGGGACGGGATGGGATGGGACGGGACGGGACGGGACGGGACGGGACGGGACGGGACGGGATGGGATGGGATGGGATGGGATGGGATGGGATGGGATGGGACGGGACGGGATGGGATAAGATGGGATGGGGTGGGATTGGATGGGATTGGATGGGATTGGATGGGATATGATGGGAGGAGCAGAGACGGGAGGAGAAAGTAGGCAAAGGAATAGGCAGGGAGGAAGCTGGGCAAAAGTGCAACGTGTGTTTAGCAGCGGCAGGGAACTCCTTCGAGCGGCACATAGTGATGCTGGCTGGCTGTGAACTACGGATTGCCGGCCACCCACTGGCAGTGCCGCCCACCCACCTGCTCCTCAGGGACGCCTGGTGAGGCGCAGTTGAGGAGGATGAGGAACGCAGACGGGTCCACCTGCGCCCTCGCCTCCTCCTCCACCTGCTGTAGCGACCGCCCCCCTCCCTGCGCTGCATCCTCCCCCTGCTGCTCCTGCGGTGATGACCTCCCCTCCGAGCCCCCCATACCAGCCCGCGTGCACCCCGCGCCCTGCGCCCCTGCGTGCACTTTCCCCTTCTGCGCCCTGTGCCCCGCGCCTCGCGTGCTGCTGACATGAGGGCGCGTAGGAGATGGAGGAAGAGGGGGGAGGGGGAGCGGGAGCGGGTGCATGGGACATCCGTGTGAACGTGGGTGGGACGAAAGGTGGCGCCTAAAGGTGTCGCTGAATGGAGAGCGGAGCATAGCGAGGGTGGGCCGGGCGGGGGTGGGGAGAGCGCAGCTGCGCGGACATCGCGAAAAGGCCCAGCGAGGTGCAAGGGTGGTCTCTCGGGGCCCAGTGAGGTGCAAGGGTGGTCTCTCGGGGCCCAGTGAGGTGCAAGGGTGGTCTCTCGGGGCCCTCGCAAACCCATTCGCTCCCTAGGTATCGGACGCCCTCCCCCGTTTAGCCTTCCCCCTTCAGTTGCCTCCTTTCTCCCTTCTCTCCTCTCCGCCCCCACCCCCACCCCACCACTCCCACCACACACCCCCCTCCCCCCCTCTCCCTCCCCCCCCCCCACCAGCTCCCGTCGTCGGACTGCCTACCCTCTACCCACTCACAGTGCTCAGAAATAAAAAGCGTCTCAAAATAAATTCTCAGCAAAACACCACCAGCGGGTTGCCCACCTTCATACCCACTCACCGCGCCCTCCGCTCCACTCTTCTCGTGCCTTTGACCCCTCTAAACAGAACCTCCGCCAGCCACCACCTCCGCCAGTCACCAGCTTCCGCCAATCACCAGCGCAGCAGGGCAGCAGGCGCGCGGACGGGATGATCGACGTGCGGGGAAGCGGAAGCAGGCGGAGCGGGGGGGAAGGGGGGGGGGGGAAAGGAGAACGGAGAGGGGAAGGAGCGAGGCGCGCGGGCGGGGCGATCAGCGTGGAAGGAAGCGGAAAGAGCAGACGGCGCGACCGCGTGGAAGGCGGGGAAAAGAAGTGGGGTAGGCGCGAGGCGCGGGGGGAGCGAGGGGAATGCACGGGGAGAACGAGGGGCGAGCGGGGTGGGAGACCGACGAGAGGCACAAGGGCGAGCGGAAAGGCCGGGGAGTGAATTTCGTAACGTGATATCTGGCTATTATCTGGAACGCCAGTTCAAAATTACTGGATGTCGTGTACGCGGTACAATCCCTGACCAACAATTTTTATACGAAGGATGGCTCTCACACGATTCATGTGTTCCGCCAATTTTCCCATCGGTATACTCGTTATATTTAAGCGTTGATTTGTTAGGGTTACAGGTTTATTACAGGATGCTACATATCAGGGTTAAGCTTGTATAAAAACAATGAAAGATGACAAAAGTAGCAGAGCTACACCTAAACCACCAATACCAACAGAACAAACAGCACGAGTAGATATAGATTAGTTTTGGCCCTGTTGTTGGCAGCCGTTGCACCTGCAGAGAAGAACCAAGGTAAAGAAATTCACTCAGCATAACGCCACAACTGAAGTAAATAAGGTTTGGCAGCACCAAAATCGCTGCCACGAGTTAGCACATGCTGAAGGTCTGTGGCGTGATATAGCAAGATGACAAGTGGGATGCAACATCGAGCGGGGCTCCACACACAGGTGCTCCCAACCAACCAGACGTACCTTTTGCCTCGGGTGTTGACGATGGCTCGCCTGCACAGCAAACCGGAGGTGAAAGAGAAACAAGGGTGGTAGACCATTCTTTGATGCGTGTTCAAAACAAATGCGCCCTTTGCATCTTATGTCAATGATAGCTCGCCAGCACAGTAGCTTGTGGGTGAAAAGAGAAACAAGGGTGCCGTGATTCCCAGGAGTGTTCGATTGTCCCTTCAGTAGCAAGATTCAACTAAAGCAATGTATGCACCAAGCTTGTGGGGCATGGCAAGCAATGCACGGCTCTCCCCTCCAATCCTCTGCACTCTCTCCACTAAACGCACGTCCCTGTAATTTTCAGAAAACGAGCAACCAGGTGGCACACATACCTTGTGAGGCTTGACTTTGTGAGGCTTGACTCGGACTCGACGGGCGCACACTCTCTGCAGGAGGGAGTGCGGATGGCGGGGAGAACGAGATTGACGTGGACGGAGTGGTTGGGAGGAAGCAGAGGATGGAGATGACGTGGAGTGGTGGGGGAAGGATCAAAGAGACAGTAATGGAAGAGACTGAGGGAGGGGGACGAGGTACGGAGTGGGACAAAATGAAGTACCTGCAGCCATGACAAGGCAGAAACAGGGCTCTAGGGTGGGTGGGATGATGCCCCAAAAAGAGAGAGCAGCACAGTGTGCTACTATAGCGTGCTAATACATGCTTGTAGCGAATCACAGGGTGTCACAGCGTGCTATAAGCATGGCACAGTGAGCTCAACTGCTCAATCTCACCTGCCCATGGCCCCTCTCACCTGCCCATGCCCCCTCTCCCGTGGCTATATTGGAGTCACAAAGAATTCTCAAGAAGATTCTCACCTGGCCCATGGCCGCGGCTGGGTGCTGTGGTGTTGGGCGTGGCAGGTGCAGAGTTACCTTCTGGTATGACGACAATACAAGCATGCGGAGGGGGGAGGGGGAGGGGGAGGGGGAGGGGGAGGGGGAGGGGGAGGGGGAGGGGGAGGGGGATGGAAAGGGGAGGAGGAGAAAGCAGGAGGAGAAGGGGGGGGAGAGAATGGACGAGACGGAGAGGTGTGAGGTGGGGGTGGCAGTGCGGTGGGGGAAAGGAGGAAGGGAGGGAGGAGGAGGGAAGAGAAAGTTATCACAGAAAGAGAGAGGAGCGGCAAGAAATAAAAGCAAGGAGCTTGTCAGCAGCACGCAAAAGAGTCAACGAAGACTCATAAATGAAGTGAGACCTGCTATTCAAACCCAGCTCGTGGCGCTGGTGGTAACCACAAGTGGAAATCGACCTAGAACCACATTCATGGGCTGTGAAGTGAAGAGGAAGGGCAGGTGAGCGGGATGACAGGAAGCACTAAGGCAGGAGAGGCGAAGGAAGCACCTTGTGGAAGCGACGTTCGGAAAAGCTCCTGGCCCGTGGAGCCTGCAGGTGTACGTTGAAGAGATAGAGAAGGACATAGACAGAGAGAATGACAAGGACATACTCCACAATGCATAGACAGCAATAGCCAACTGAGCAAAGGAGGAAGTGACTTATGAGGGGGTAGCATGACTCACAATTGAGGGAGTGCCAGCCGAACAGCCCTCTCTCCTCGTCCATGAGGATGTAAAAGTTCTGCAGCCAGGACTCTGAGGGTGATGGGGGTGGGCGGAAAGGGGGGGTGGGGGAGAAGGGGGGGGGAGGGGGGGGGGGGGGGGGGGGAATGGGTGCGAGGGACGGAAAGAGCAGGATTGTTGAAGATGGGGAGGCATGGGGCATGAAGGAGGGAAGAATAGAGCCATGAGTCTAGATATGGAAGGGCACTGTCGGATGTGCTGGGGGGGTGGAAGTAGGCATACATAACAGAAACAAGGTATGAGAGTTACATGGTTAGACAGATGCATCGTTTCATTCATGTTGACCCTGCTTGAGAGCGCACCTCCAATGATGGCGGAAACACGTGAGGAGGAAATGGGGAGGGCTGCCAAGCAAAGTAAAGCCTGGCCTGTGCGCTCCATGAAGCCCTGCAGGGAGGGGGGGGGGGGAGGAGAGGAGAGGAAGATAAGGGAGAGTGGACAGAAGGGAGCGAGGAGGATAAGTGGGGGGAGCAGGGGACACCACAAAGTAAAGCCATGGCTGTGTGCTCCATGAAGCCTTGCCCGGGGGGGGGGAGGGGGCGAAGAAGATACGGGGAGAGAGGGGGATGACGACAAGGGTAAGGTGAGAGAAGAGTGTGAGAATGATGGAGGAGGAAGAAGGGGGCACAACAGGGTGGAGGATAAGGGAGGGGAAGAGGAGTTCCATTCCCAGTCGTTCAATCAGAATTATGATGTAGTAGAGCTTTGAGACGTGTCCAAAGACAGACGGAAAGGACTCACCCCGAGGAAGAGGTAGTTGGTGGGTGGCACGGCCCAGGTCGTGTTGCCGAAGCTGATGACGAGGTTCGGAAAGACCGAGTCGAAGAGGGTGGCATTGCTGGCAAGTTTGGAAACGGGCAGGGAGATGAATTGGGGAGGAGAAGGCAGCAGGTAAAAGCAAGCTGGAAAATGTTAATATAAGGACAGATGGCTCTACTTTGACACATGGCTCTACTTTGACAGCTGATATCGACGAAAGAGGTGCCTGACGGATGAAAACCAGGAACCTCATCCTTTCACGAATGCTAGAGAGTGTGGGGTGTGGGCACCTGGGAAAGAGGGTGCAATCCCCGAGGGTGGGATCAGAAAAGGCAGAGAGAAGTGGGTCCGAAAACACCTGCATGCAACAGAACACCACGAGGCACCAAGAAAATCACACCAAGTCACCGAGGCAAGCACGGTGAATTCGGGAGTTGTGGAAGTGAGGAAAGAGGTGAGTAAGGAGTTGAGCGGGTATGAACAGAAGAGCTGAAAAGAAAGCTGGGGCGAGTTGACATGACAACAAGGCAGTGCAGTGAAGGTGGCACTGCTGACCTGCTGAGATAAATTCCAAAGCAAAGGCTCCTCATTCCTTCCATGCATACCACAACACCACCCCTCACTGCATTGCACCTTCGCACTTCTCACCCCCACCGCATTTCACCACATTCCACCGCATCGCACCGCATTCCACCGCCTCCCAACAAAGCTCACCGCATCCCGCAGCGAGGCGTAGACGGCGGGCGGCAGCGCAGTGAAGGTGGTGCCGCTGTCGATAATGACGCCGCCCTCCAGGCTGGCCACATCCACTGCTGACAGCGAATCAACGCCCGCCACCTGGCGGCCTCCGATACTCATGCCGGTGATGTTGATGTAATGGTATGGGCTGGGTGACACACGTGCATGTGGGGGATGAGGGAGAAAGGGAATGGAGAGAGGGGAATGAGGAAGAGGGAAATGGAGAAGAGGGAGATAGCAGGTTGCTGCTGTCTCCCACCGGCCAGGCCAGGTGGCCTCCCCTCGTCTCCCCTCGTCTCCCCTCGTCCCCCCTCGTCTCCCCCTCGTCTCCCCCTCGTCTCCCCCTCGTCTCCCCCTCGTCTCCCCCTCTCCCATCAGGCAGAAGGAGAACCCGACGGCATTACCACCACCGCCCACATCATCAGCAGCACTTACAGTCCGTGCACATGTCATAGCACTGCCGTCTGCATGTCTGCCGGCTGCTGCAACCGCCCAGACAGAAGGAGAAGGCGAACGGCATTGCCACCCATGTCAACAGTATACTTACAGTCCATCCACGTGCCACAGTGCTGCTGTTTGCAAGTCCGCGGGCTGCTCTGACCGCCCAATCGCCAGGTGGCCTCCCCCCGTGTCACCTCCGTCCAGACAGAAGGAGAATGCAAACGGCATTACCGCCTCCTCCTGCTCTGCTCCTGCCCCTGTGCCTGTGCCTGCTGCTCTTGCTGCTGCTGGTGCTCCTGCAGGGGAGGCTGGCACTTGTGTTGGCGAGTCCGTGAAGGAGGCGGGAGAGGAGAGTTGGCGGATGACGGAGCGAGGGCCGGAGCCGAAGCCCATGAGCCCGTCCACTGAATAGGGGCTGCTGATGAGCGTGCCGGTCTGTAGGGACGAGCAACTGATATGAGGCATGGAGGTAGGGAGGGTGGTATGGAGGTAGGGAGGGTGTAAGAGGGGTGGAGTTAGATGAGTGAAGCCCATGAGTCCATGAGGCCGCCCACTGAGCAGGGGCTGCTGATGAAAGGAGAAGGGATGACCAACCTTGCTTGCACCATGTTGCTCACTCACCCAATATTCATGGCCAGTCACATCATCCCACAGGATGGAAATCCACTTCATGACATCATTCCATGTGACATCATGCGATGTGACATCATTACAAGTGACATCATTACAAGTGACATCATTCCACGTGACATCATTCCACGTGACATCATTCCACGTGACATCACGTGACATCATTACAAGTGACATCATTACAAGTGACATCATTCCACGTGACATCATTCCACGTGACATCATTCCACGTGACATCATTCCATGTGACATCATGCGATGTGACATCATGCGATGTGACATCATTACAAGTGACATCATTCCACGTGACATCATTCCACGTGACATCATTCCACGTGACATCATTCCACGTGACATCATTCCACGTGACATCATTCCATGTGACATCATGCGATGTGACATCATTACAAGTGACCAAGGTGGAAAAAAACGATTGCGGAAAAAAACGATTGAAAAAAACGATTGTATTTTACGATAGGTTTAGGGAAAAAAAAAAAAACGACGTTTTTTTGTTAGCCAAAAAAAAAAAAAAAAAAAAAAAAACCAAAAAACGATATCAGAACAAAACAAAACAAATAACAACAATCACCATTCACACATACAAGTATGTGTACGAGAACAATTATATTGAAAACATTGTCTATTTATGAAACCGAACATATAGAATAGGAGTGTATCAAGTGAACTTATTCAATAAAAATCGCTATCATCTTCACAAAGACAAAATGTGAGCGACTGGATGAAAAATCTGGCATGAAATCCTTTTTTTTTCATGCTTTTGTTGGTTTGGTAAACCAGCACAGTTAAAAACATGTTAATTACAAAGTAAAGGTAAGCATAAAAAGTGGTTCGAAAAAAACAATTGAAAAAAACGATCGTTTTTTTTCACCCAAATTATTATTTGTTCCCTGACCCTTTTTTATCGTTTTATACGATGGTATGGTACGATATCGAAAAAAACGGCCAAAATTTGAAAAAAAAAAAAAAAAAAAAAAAAAAAAAACGTCGTTTTTTTGCACCTTGCAAGTGACATCATTCCACGTGACATCATTCCACGTGACATCATTCCACGTGACATCATTCCACGTGACATCATTCCATGTGACATCATGCGATGTGACATCATTACAAGTGACATCATTCCACGTGACATCATTCCACGTGACATCATTCCACGTGACATCATTCCACGTGACATCATTCCACGTGACATCATTCCACGTGACATCATTCCACGTGACATCATTCCATGTGGCATCATTCCATGTGGCATCATTCCATGTGACATCATTCCATGTGACATCATTACAAGTGACATCATTCCACGTGACATCATTCCACGTGACATCATTCCACGTGACATCATTCCATGTGACATCATTCCATGTGGCATCATTCCATGTGACATCATTCCATGTGACATCATTCCATGTGACATCATTCCATGTGACATCATTCCATGTGACATCAATCCATGTGACATCATTCCATGTGACATCATTCCATGTGACATCATTCCATGTAACATCATCCCAAGTAACATCATCCCATGTAACATCATCCCAAGTAACATCTTCCCATGTAACATCATCCCATGTAACATCATCCCATGTAACATCATCCCATGTTACATCATCCCATGTAACATCATGTCATGCCATGTGACATCATGCCATGACATGAGACATCCATTTCACCTTCTAGCACCATATTGTTGCACTCACCCAAACAGCACCCGAGGGCTCACGACACTGCTCCCACTCCCTGCCGACCCCTCCAATGGCTGACCGCCACCTGGCACAGACGACGCTGACGTGGCAGCTGCCACTGTGCTCACCCCCGTTTGCGTCACACTCAGGTTAATCACATCAGTCACCAGCGTCCCCTCCGTGCTGCTGCCATCCCCGTAGCGAATCACATACTGACACGTGTCACTTGGGGAGGGCCAATCAGCAGCAGCAGGCTGGGGCGAGGAGCCCGACAGAGAATCAGAGGCATTGGAAGAGGTTGAGAGCGGTAGAGGCTCTGGAACCCCAGTGGTGGGAGATTCGGGCTGAGCAGAACGGGAGATGGTGGTGGGAGTGCGGACTGTGCGGGTGAGGTTGGGAGCGACGCCGCAGCCAATGTTGGGGCGGCCGGTGGGGCAGAGAGGGCTGTTGCAGGCAATGGGTTGCGCTGTGATAGAATTCTCCGGGCGGTAAGGGGCACTCAGGGGCTGCAGGGAGGGGAACAAGGGTGGGGGGAGAGGAGAGAGGGCTGGTAGTGAGCTAGCTCTCGAGGTAGTAGGTGGCGCTCAGGGGCTGGAGGGGCGAAGGGAGGGGACAAGGGAGAAAGGGACAAGGGTTGGGGGCAGGGAGTATTGTCGCTGCAGTGCACAGCGGAAGAACGATGTGCAGTACCAAAAACCTGTTGATCTTGCTGCGAGTGTTTGTTCTTACAATGAGTGTTTGTGCTTGCAACAAGTGCCTGTGCTTACAACGCGTGCTCACCCTTACAGAAGGAGTAGGTTCTTACAACAAGGGAGGAGTCAGTAGCACACTGGATACAGTCACAGGGCACCCACAGCATGTCACTGCCCGTGTCAAAGACCACAGAGAAGGAGCGAGCTGGCAAGGAGAGCGACACGTTCAGATAGTACAGCCTGCGGTGGCAGGGAAGGCGGGGGGAATAGGGCTTGCTGATGCCTACGTCAACTTGATTGATCATCAACCTGGGTGCAGTGGGGTGCAGTCGTTGGGTGGGTGGGACCACGCATTTGGTGGACACAAGGAACGAGATTTGGGGAACGAAGGTGATTTGGCAGTAACAACATGCACAGACACGGCGAGGGTGGAAAGAGAGAGAGAGACAACAGCTGGGAGTGGCAATGGTGACGTGGGGGACAGCTGTGTGTGAGGAGGTGCGGTGAGGGAGAAGCTTGTGGGACTGACAGGACGGTGATGAGCTGAGGACGGAGATGTAGGTGTGGTGTGGGAGGGGAGGAAAACGTGAAGGAGCAATGGAGCATGAAGGGAACGGTGAAGAAGCAAGGAGGGGAGAAAAGGTGGGAAGGGGGCACGGCACAGCAGGGACATGGGTCTGAATGGGCGCATCCGTTACAAACCCACTGCTGCCTGACTGCCATGGCATCACATGTTGGGACGTCTCAAGGCACATGCATGCAGACCCATCCCTCACACCCTGTGCCCACTTCCGCCATACCATCATCTCCACCAAACGAACCATTCCATCATCTCCTCCACCAAACGAACCATTCCATCATCTCACGCCATCCCTCACATCCCTTACCCGTATGGGATGGTTCGGCCTCCCAGGTCGAATGCCGCGACGCCCCTGGCAGCAGCACCTGCTGCTGCTGCTACTGCAGGCGATTCCTGCAATCCACGCGCTCTAGTGGTGCGGACAGACCGCTGTGGGTGCGCTGAGGCTGCGGAATGCGGTGGGGCCCCAAAGGCTGTGAAGATGCGGTGCAGGTCCCTCTGGCGCTGTTGTGTGTGGTATGTGGCGTGCTGCAGGGGAGGTGGGGAAGGGGGAAGAGGTTATGGGAAAGGGGGGGAGGGTAGATGGAGGGAAGGGAGAGGGTAGGAGGGAAGGGTTGGAAATAGTTGGAGAGGGAGGAGGTTGGAAGGGAGAGAGAGGAAGGGAGGAGGGTGGGAGGGGAGGAGGAAACGGAAATGGGAAGGATATATCAGGGCAGATGGCACCGGCTGCATATTGTGTGTCACTGAGAAAGAACGTCAACTGCTATCCGGTGAGTGAGGGATGGGATGGGAACACCAGGCTATGTGGGTCCAGTTCAACCTATTGCAATACCACACACGTGACCTCCGCAGCACATCAACTGCAAAAGTGACTTTGTGTTTCTTGCAATGGGCTGGATGGGGCCCACACAGCTTAATGTTCCCATCGCTCAACAAAAGAAAATACAGAGCGTGGGGGGGAAAGGGAAAGTGTTGAGGGCAGTGGGAGGAAAAACTTCAAGTGACAGCTGGTGAGTGAAGGATGGGAACACCGGGCTATGTGGGTCCAATCCAACCTATTACATGAACACATGACCTCTGCAGCACATTGACTGCAGATTTGACCTTGTGCTTCAAATTGTGCAATAGGTTGGATGGGGCCCACATAGCTTGATGTTCCCATCGCTCAGTTCTTGAAAGTAATTGTGCGATATCTATCAACGTGGTGAAGCTCACAGCAATAAACGGGTATGTATGTACATCCCATGCATGAACTCACATCATCATCACACCCATGCACTGCAGTATGGTGCACAAGAGCCGCCGTCAGCACATGCCCCGTCTCCCCTAAAAGCACCCTGCCCTGCGCATGCCCCCTGTGCTGCCAGGGGGGCAGCCACGTCGCGGATGGGGAGGGGGATGGGCGGGGGAAGAGGCGCGCGAGGGACTGCAGAGAGGAGAGGGGCGGGCAACGGGCGGAGGGGTAGAGGGGGCGGAGGGAGCGGAAGGGGGGAGAGAGAGATTGGGGAGAGGATAGGGGGATGGTATGGCAGGAGAAATTCAGTGAGTAACACTTGGGATGTGTACTGAATGAGGCTGCGCGCGTGAATGCACAGGGAGGACTGCGCTGCAGACGAGATGCTAAGGCTAAGCGCAGGTGAGTTCGTGTAACCAACAACAGAGCAGGCTGGTATTGCTGAAGCCAGTAAAAGGATATGTATGACTTTTTTACTGACATGGGCGGGAGGAAGGATGGCGCGAAAGATAAGATACCAAGCAGGAGCGACTGGGTGGGTGCACCGTGCACGTACGTACCTGACGGAGCAGGATGGTATTATTACTGTGATGTGAGAGTACGAGTAGGAAGATTTCACTCACATGGGGAGGGCGACGCGGGAGGTCGGAACGCTGTGATTGCGCTTCCAGAGAGGCCGCAGAGCCAACCGACACGGGCAGCAGTAGCAGCGCGGCCAGCAGAGCAGGCAGCAACGAGCACGGCGCTGCTGTGTGCACTCGTCTTCTCTGCTGCAGCTGAAGACTCAGTACCCGCGGGGGACTCATTATCGCATCCTCAGCGACAGCCATTCACTCCAGACGCCGCAAATAGTGAAGGAGGCGTCTCGGCAAAAAAAACGTGAAGAGATTTGCCTTTCGCGTGCTGCTGCGCGATTGTCAAGCAGAAACGAGTTCCTTGCAAGAGATATTCGGGAAATTTGTGTTTTTTCCAGCCTTTGAAAAAAATATTTCAGCTACTGAGAATCCCGATTCTGCCTCTTGCAGCCCTTGAGAAGAACAGACGCTCGCACTCTCGGGCGCCGCGCACTCTCGAGGAGACTCGCTTGGCCCCTCTCTTGAGGAGAGGAAACCGCGAAGACAGAACGCGCGGAACGGGAAGGTACAAATCGGTTGCAGATGCGGGAAGGTACAAACCAAGGCCCAGTTGCTTGCTTGCTCGGTCTTTCCATCTCGTCGCGGGCCGAGCGGTGACATCCGACGGCGGAAATCGCACGTGCGATTTCGAATGTCGGTGCGACGGGATTTCGGTCCCGTCAAACCGTACCACAGACATCTGCGCTAGCTTCGAGGTGGAAGGAGGAAGAAAGGCAGGAGGTAGCGGGAAGCAGGTTAGCTGGGGGAAGAAGGGAGGCAGGGAAATATAGTTGACGCGTGCGAAGGGTCGCAAGGGACGGGACGGATGCTGTCGACGGCGCCTCGAATCGACCGTCGCTTGTAGTGGCGCTCTTGCTTGACGTGACAGGCAGCCATGGATTATACTGGATGGAACAACACTGGGTCTGTGAAGGTGGGATTTCGGCGCTAATGGTGGTCATGTGTCTGTGATCCCTCTATGAACACGCGCGGTATAACTCGTGGCAAACCAAGCAACATAAGCATAGGGGTATAAAAACGACTATGACACTTATTCTAATCCATTTTCCAAATGATTTAAGAATTGTTCTTGCTAACTTGCTTGACCTATCACTTGTTTGGTCGCACTGAGTTTTTTGAAGTGGGATTGACCGAAATCAAATCAGAGTGATGTATATATTGAAGTAATTATAACAAAGGCATACATGTATACTGTTGTCTCACAAACTGAAAACAGCGGAGTGGGTTGGATTGATTGGGTTGGGGTACAAATACCTAACCCTAACTGTTTGTACCCCATATAGCATAACCCACTAGAGGCTATAACATTTGACACACCCCCATAGCCTTAGTAGGGAATGCCAAGCAACAAAATGCAACATAAGGCCACAAGACCAGTCACAAGCAAGAGAGAAAACAAAGCTCAGGGTGGATCACAACGTCACCACACAGTCTAAGCACAAACAAGGGACCACAAGGCCAGTTCAAGAGTGTACAAGCTAATATATATGGTACAAACAAACAAGAGGCAAGAACTCACTTCTACAGTCTACTAGACCCAGTCTCAACGAGGCCTAACTGCAGACAAAACCGGCGGTGGTCACAAGGCTGAAGAGCCTTGGTGAAGATGTCTGCAGTGTTGTGTTAGAAACTAGTGACAGGAATGAGATGAACTAGTAGCAGGATGGGTACAAGTATGAAACCCTAATTTGGGTTGTACCCCATATGGGCTACCCCACTACAACCTACACAATAAGTAGCATATATGTTTGACACACCCCCATAGGAAAAGTGGGGGAGAGCAAGGGGTCACAAGACCAGTCAAGAAACGCAAAACAAGCTCAGGGTGGATCACAACGTCACCACACACACTGAGCACAAGCAAAGGGCCACAAGGCCAGTCCACATGCAGAGATATATATATGCAACAAGAGCAGTACAGTGATCAATACCTAGCAAGAGCAAGCATGCAGGTATAAATATAGAGCACAGTACACACAAAGGCTACAGCAAGTGTGGAAACGTAGGCACAAGGCCTAACAAAGTACAAAAGCGCTGATGATCACCAGACGGAAGTGCCTTGGTGAATATATCAGCAGTGTTGGCCCGAGTGGCCACGTGTGCAAGACGAAGCTGACCACGCTGCTGCAACTCTCGAGCCAGGAAGTAACGCAGAGCGATGTGCTTCGTTCTGTACTCCAGTCTGTGCTCCTCACACAAGGCAATGGCAGCCTTGTTATCGACGTACAGAACTGGAGGAGAACGAGGCCGCTCTCCCAGGTCGGTCAGCAGGTAGGTGAGCCAGCGTAACTCCTGAGCAGCCATGGCGGTGGCGTAGATCTCAGCCTCACAACTGGAGCTGAGAACGGAAGCCGAGCGAGTAGAACGCCAAGAAATAGAACTAGAGCCAAGGCTGAAAGTGTAACCCTGTGACGACCGCTGCGTAGCCTGGTCGTCAACCCAAGAAGCGTCTGAGTGCCCAGTGAGGACCACCTCTCGCCGTCCTCCAAGCACGAGCCCCATGCCCGATGTACTGCACAAGTAGCGCAGTACCCTCTTCGCAGCATCCCAGTGCACCTTTCGGTGCCGACCAAGAGCCACGTAGCGAGCCAGAAGGCCAAGAGGGTACGCAAGGTCAGGACGAGTGCAAGTCATCAGGTACATGAGGCAGCCCACTAGCTCTGGGTAAGGACCACTCGGCTCTACGGACTCGTCCGAAGGTGGAGCTGAGAGCGAGTGACCTGTAGCCAGAGGAGTGGACTGTGGCGAGGACCAGGTGAAGCCGAAACGCTGAAGGACCTACTGCACCATGTGTGACTGAGTCAGTGTGATGGTGCGGCGTGCTCGGTCCCGGGTGATCTGCAAGCCAAGGTAGCTGCGCAGCTCACCCAGATCTGTGCACGTGTGTCTCTTCTGCAGTTCGGACTTCACCAGGGCGAGGGCCTCAGTGTCAGCAGTAGCAAAGACCAAGTCGTCGACGTACACGAGGATATAGAACGGCGGCAGCGAAGTGTCGGTGCGCAGAAACAGTGACGGGTCAGCAGTCGAAGGCGCAAACCCAAGAGCCGCAAGTGTAGTCCTCAGTGTGTCGTGCCACTCACGGGGTGCCTGGCGGAGACCGTAGACTGGCCGCCGGAGGCTCCACTGGGTACCAGGAGGGAACGACCCAGTGAAGCCAGGTGGGCGGCGCAGCCAGATCTCCTCGTGCAGGCTGCCCTGTAGGAAAGCTGTGCTGAAGTCAAGGGAGTGAAGCTCGTAGTCACGCTGAGCGGCAACGTGCAGCAGCACCCGAAGAGTAGTCATCTTCGGGGTGGGGGAGAAGGTCTGGAAGAAGTCAACTCCCTCTCGCTGACTGAAGCCTCGAGCAACGTAACACGCCTTGAAGACAGGCGGAGAACCTGGCGGCCGCTTCACCCTGAAAATCCACATGCCATCGACGATGTTCGCCCCGGGAGGGGGAACCTCATCGACGTAAGTGCCTATGGACTTCCAGGATGCCATCTCTGCGTCCATGGCTGCCTGCCACTGAGAGGAGTACTCACCCGCGATCGCCTCAGCGTAAGAGCGCGGTGTGGGGATGTCTATAGCATCCGGGTCTCCCTCAGGGGCAAGCAGCATGGCCACGAGATGAGGCGCAGCGGCTGCAAGACACTCAAGGTCCTCGTGCCTGTCCTCAAGGACGTCCGTGCCAAGAGCACACTCACCCCCGACGGACGGAGGACAGACAGACGCAGACTCAGCAACAAGACTAGCAGCGTAGTCTAGACGACAGGCAGCAGCAAAGTCAACAAGCTCAGCGACCAGGGCAGACGCAGCAGCAGACTCAAACGACGGGTCAGTGACAACAGTGGCTAGCAGACGCGTGACAGTAGGGTGCTCAGCACGAAACCGGTCAGACTCAGGGTCCGCGACGTCAGGCAAAGAGGACGCAGGGGGAGACGGAAGAGGAGGACGCTCCGGAGTAGGGGACCGACGCAGGGCTACAAGGCGTGTGCCGGGGACAGCCGGCTGACGCGGACGAGGAACACGACGACCAGTACGACCAGGACGAACAGGCGAGACAAGACGCGACGCAGGCTCACGACGCTCAGCAAGACCCCCTGTCTGCTCAGTGTAAGGAGAAGGAGCAGGCAGTGGTGAGCCAGGCTGTAACGGAAGACCAGTAGACGAAGGGAGACTAAGAACCTGGCGAAGCACAGAGTCAGGCGGTGGCTGAGACGACGGAGATGGTGGAGCAAAGAACAGGCGCGGCTGGGCAGTGCCACCAGCACCAGCAGCTCCAGCACCCCCAGCAGCTCCAGCACCTCCAGAAGCTCCAGAAACCTCAGCACCAGCTCCTCCAGGACCAGCTCCACCAGCAGCAGCACCCCCAGAACCGGCACCCCCAGTCCCAGGGTCTCCAACCGCAGCACCCCCAACAGCGCCCGAACCTCCAGCGCCAGCACCCCCAGAGCCAGCACCCTCAGCAGCTCCAGCGCCACCAGCACCAGGACCTCCAGCAGCTCCAGAACCTCCAGCGCTCGCACCCTCAGCAGCCCCAGAACCACCAGCTCCAGCGCCACCAGCACCAGGACCTCC